ATTTGGTTGAACTTACAAGACCGCCCATTCTTCTAGTTTAGTCCTACAAGTGTTTTTCCGCCGTTCGTAGTTCATGCATTTGTAACGAATACTAATAAACAAAGGAATCGTGTATCCTTTATTCCCCCATTCTGCGAAGAACTGCAATAGTGAAGAGGAAGGAGACAGTGAGTAACTGAAAGACGCACACGGTCGTTTCTTCATGAAGTCAGGCTTAACGGTCTCGGCCCCTCCAACCTTAAAAGGAAGTGTCCGCTTTTACCCCTTAATCGGCTGGCCAAGTTTGGCCTGTTAATATAGGGACTAACTAGTTTTGCCGTGTCATGCTCTAGATATCGTCTTCGTAGCTGTCAGTCTTTTTGCTCTAGTACTTTTTTCACGCACACGGCGAGCCATATAGGCGGCCCTTTTACCCACCGGTTCTGCATCAAACGTCTGCTTATGACCGAAGTTGTCGCTGATCTTTACTGGCATACCGACCGACGTGAGAAGTTATAAATTGACGTTGTAACTACCCATACTAACAGCCTAGGTACTTGCTAAAAGGCTAAGATAGGCCTAGTCTATGAGCGAAAGAAGGGCACTGGCTTGCTCCTGAAACATTTAGGGAACTTGTGTACACTTTTTTAGTCTCAGTGCCCCCCTCCCTATAGGACCATCATCAAACAACATTATTTGACAACGGGGCGTAGATTTTGAAATGTGTCGCCGGTGTGCTTCTGGATGCTTGTGGGCATAATAGCTGTGAGAATTTTTCAGATTTAGTGCACTAAACAGCGGATAATGATATCGTAGGCAATGAGAATACATCGTTTGTAGAAGGAGACAAGAGGACGCTCGAGTGTCATTGCTCACTACCGCCGGATTCTTACGTGAATGGATTTGAACAAGCGCAAAATATGGGATGGAGCAAAAAGCTGCAGAGTTAGGAATCACAAAGAGGCAATATTTCTTTCTGGCGCTGTAAGAAAAGTTAAATTAGTCAGGATAAAGTTGCCTACGTATCGAAGTAACCAATTGGCATCTGCTCCTGAAATCACATGTAATCCCGTTAATTTTATGCATTTCAGATGTTATTCATATTGAAGAAGCGATATCAATGCAGTAATGGAGTAACCCAGTGATTGCGCTTTACTGGAAAATATTAAAGTGTAGTAGATAATTGTACACCAATCTGTTTTTCAGGGCGAACCCATCCTGGTTGATGCCTCGCAAGCTAGGATGCGTCCAGGTGTGTTATGCAAGGTGACCGGAGAGACGTGTGTTCGAAACTCGAGTGTGGCAGCAATTTCAGCTGCAACACCGGAGTTGGGTATCACTAGTTGATGACGGCTAATGAGCCAGTAATGGCCATTCTAGTGTCTATGTCTTTGTCGGAAATAGAAACATTAAGGCCTTAAGAATGCATCCTGTTTTCGATGTGAGAACTTTATTTTAAACTGTTGCAGATTTCCATTACCTATTCCATTGTTACGGGCATTATTTGGATGGATTTCTCAGGTTAGATCAATAATAGGTTGCACAGAGTGAATTACGAGAGGTTAGGTTGGGCTGTCTCTGACACTAGCTACATGCTTGAAAATAGCACAGAGGTACCAATCAGAACGGTATCGATAAAATACTTATTTTTTGCAGCCACACATTACTTTTTATCAGTCGACTCTACCAAATATTGCATCCGTAAAAAGTATGTTTTACTTTTTCTATTTCTTATCTTTTCAAGCAAGTCACAGAGCCCGATAGGACTGCCGTCCGCCAATTCATAATCGACTCTCGTGAGAAGGTCTACCAGGCTACGTATCTGCAGATTATGAAACGCTGGTACTTCGAAGAAAAGGTATCTTGTTATTTTTTCCATGTGCAGTATTTGAAACTATATACATGTGTATGAATATACGCGAAACGGCTAACACCAGGTACTCACTTACTCCAAGTGCATCAACGTAGGGTTGATAAAATAGGAACTGGTGTTGTCGCTTACCATCCTAACAGCACAGGTACTGGCTAAGAGGCGCGGACACGTGTTTCGCCGGTATTCTGCCGCTGCTTGACACAGCTGTGAGGGGTCCGGCTAATCAGTGGTAACTACAGTCTAAATAGCTATAAATGTATATGCTAATATTACGGAGCTCACCGATCTAGTTAAGGAGCATTTATCTCCCGTTGTGCCCTGGAGCTCAATGCAGAGTCCTCGCAGGGAGTCGCATAGTTACTTGTAGGACAACGATGGAGTGGTGAGTCCCCTGCTATCATCATATTCCGGATCGCAACCAACAAAATCAGCGGGCTCGTTGGTTAAGTATAAAGTTTTATACTGTGACTAAAAATCACCTTTAGCAGGCACCCATTCTGTATAGTAGTCATCCGTACTAACGTTTTGTCAACGATCGTTTTAAAAATTTTGAATATCCTACTCACCCGTCAATCTCTACCCATTTTGCATTTTGTGTTTTCATGGTAAACAGTTTTAAGTAAGACGGCCAAGGTACTTAGTTTCGAGGCGTGGCAATTTTTATGACAACCTACGAAAAATGGGAAATCAACGCCACCTGAGAACGTCTCCGGGGATTTACTCAGCTTACCGACCCTCAGCGCGCTCCAAACATAGCTGTGGCAACTCGGAAGTAAATTGCCAGCGCCGGTATCTTAATGTTCATCAGAAAACGCCTTCTAGCTGCATAAAAATTACATCCCATCGTTTGCTGTAACGTTTAATTTATTAGGATTAGATTGCTAGTTTTGCGTCGATACTAAAGATGCGGACTAGTGACTGTGGAGCGCTTTAAAGGGCTACTGTAGCATCTGTAACACGTTTTTCTCTAGCGACCCGTATGCTTCGAATTGGTCGAACTCTGGTGCGTTTTCAAAAACTGTAGATTATTTCCCGAGTACGTCTAAACCAGTTTCTCTATGTGGACTTAAAAGTCAATCTGAAACCCCCTTGCCCATTATCTCTGCACTAAAAGTACTGAATCTCACGTTTTCCGTTCAGCCACAAAGTTGATGCCTGTTCCCTCGATTCAGGTATTAAACTGCTACGGCGTTGCGATTTTACCGACGCAGGTTGAAAATATTCATGCTTGTGCCATAGGCGCACGCACTTTTCTCTATTTGGAGTATCGGATCATCATGCGAGTGAGCGCAGCTCTTGTCAGCTGGCGCAATCCGTAATTTTGACGTAATACCAGGCCTGTCTTTCCGACTTCTTTTCTTCCGGCACTGGTTTCCAGAATAAAATGCGCACCATCGTTTCCACTGGGCGATCAGATAAATTAGATCCCTTGTCTACTTCGCCCGTCGCCTACTGCATACTTCACACAACTGGTGACTGATTCGTGTCTTCGCGTGGACTCAAAGCGTTTAGGTCGGAATGTGAACAGTGCGAGATATCGGAGACCCTCTTTGCTTTTAACTCAATGCTGACATTTATATACTGCAATCTGTTGGACAACGACTACCCTCCTCGTCACGAATTTTCCCAATTTGCATACAATAGGTTCCCTATCGTGTAATATCAATTTTCTAAAATGAGTTTTCGATTCGAACAAATTACTTAAGCAGGGTTGCAATACCGATTACGGCGATTTCAGTCACTTCAGAATGCCGGCTTTACAAAGAGCTTTCCTACTGCCGTTAAAAAGACTACTCTGTAAAAAGGACTACTGAAGTAGTATGCATTTTTCTAATTTCTTTTCACTGCCCTTACAAATTCTAAAATATTTTATGGAAAACATACACAAGATGTTCTTTCTTGTAGTCTTTTGGTAGCAAATTACACCTTCAACGTTTATATTTGAAGTTTTCGGTTTTAAAAAGGTCGCTAAATTGCCGAATAATTTTTAACTCTGCCGGCCGCTTCACTTGAATTCAAGGCTTTCACATCTTGTATACCTCTCGTAAAAACCTTGTATACCTTCTATCTTGGGAACAGTACATAATTCTTCATGTATGAGGAAGACGTCACATTATTCTCACAAAATTTTTGCAATGGATGTGGATAGTGTTGTGTACTTTATAGGGAACATGAATAAATTGACGGACACGATGTACTACAAACGAGCATTCCACAGTCACAAAACAATTAATAATAAGAGACTATTTCAAAGCCGAAGCATATCTTTTTCTTAGACATACAATTTAAAGGAGGCATAATTTGCTACCAAAGGAGTACAGGAAAATAAAATTTTGAACATGTTTTCTTTAAAAAATATATTTGAATTTATAGTGGCAGCGAAAATAACTGAGAACCAATGAGTCTCCTTAAGTAGCCATCTTTTACAAAGTATACTTTTTGCAGGCAGTAAAAAGGGAGCTCGTTCAAAGGCCGGCATCCTATCGTGAATAAACTATCTTGAAGTTAGGTTGCAAGATAATATTACTACCCTACTTAAGTAATTTGTTCGAACCGAAAACACGTTTCACAATTTCGGTTGACATTTCATGAGATAGGGAACTTACTGTACACACATTCTATAAGATCGGATTATCTGTTGGAATCAGTGGCTGAAGCCGTAGGATCTGCCATTAGGCTTTTGACAAATTGTCATGCTGATAACGACTGCGCTAAATCACTTCACTTTTCTTCCAGATACGCCGTCCATACTTCCATGTGAAACCGCTGGAAGAGGTGCAAATAAATAATTGGGCCGAGTACCTCAGTTTTGAAGAGAACGAGGCCTCCACAGTGATTGCAGAGTTTAAGGCTGCACATCCAGACGCAGACCCTCTGTTAGACGCAGAGGTTCAGCTGGCACGAAAGCGGGTTCGCGTACTCTACGAACGCTGTCTAGTAGCGTGTGCTCTCTACGAGAATTTCTGGATACGCTATGCAAAGTACCTTGAGGTGAGCCCCTTTTTGTGCGTCTTGCGCTTTACTGCACCCCCGGGAAATGTGACAATAAATTTGGCTGCCTTGCACAACATCTTTGATTTAGTATTTTGGGTGCCCAAATACAAAGGGGGACCTTAGGCACAAAACTAGACTATCCTATGTGAATTATTTTTGATACGTTAGCGTACATTACTTTACTTTTTTAAATCTTAAGATTAATTCATATGATTCTAGACAATCAGCCCCAACTATCGGACTTCTCTTCTGACCTTATCTTGTTTGCTGCTTTGATAATTAAAATTGATGATGCCGTAGGCTACCTGATCACCAAAGGTAAAGTAGGTACTCTTCAAGGTGCTCCTCGGAGAATTGTCGGCAATGGCGTCCAGTTACAGTATTGGGGATAACCTGCGTAATTGGTGTTTCTAACATGTCCTTTTCCCGTTGGCCCACGTCTTATCCGCCCTTCGCCTGCTTTAAAAAAACGTTGAGTGTAAAATTTGTGACTTTTCAGGTGTTCTAAGTTACCCGTGTTTGCAAACCTTGGTAGGGACCTTGATATTGAGGGTTAAAACCGCTTTACACTCAAGACACAAATTTAAGCCCACCATATCTTTTGGATCCGCTGTGTTTTGCAGTTTACCGAAATGGATATTCCGGCTGCGCGGGAAGTCTGGCGTCGCGCCTGTACGGTGCATCTACGGCGAAAACCGACAATTCATTGGTACTGGGCTATGTTCGAGGAACGTCACCCTGCCGGCTTGGATACCCTCGGGAGCGCAGACAAACAATTGGTCGTTCCGTCGCCGCTGCCGCCTCCTAAAACAAGTCTTGAGATCCTCACCGAGTTAGAA